TTTTTATCCTCCATTTTTATTAAAGACAGTTAAGAAATTAACCCATTTGTGTAATGAATGCAACATACATATGTCTTCTTTTTAAAAATATTTTTAATTTTTCAAATATAGTTGATGTACAATATTGTGTTAGTTTAGGTGTACAACTCTGGTTAGACATTCATATAACTGATACAGTGGTCACCCCCATACATCTAGTACCATGTGACATCACATGTAGTTGTTACAATGTGATTGACTGTGCTCCCTGTGCTGTCCTTTCCCTCCCCGTGACCACACTGTAAGGACCATGTTGTAGCTCCTCCTCCTTCCCCTGCTGTGCCCAGTCCCTCCCCTGCCCTCCAGCAGCCAGCAGTCTGCTCTCTGTGGCTGAGTGTGGGGCTGTTGTAGGATCCTGTTGGGCGGATTCCAGGCAGCTCTGAGTGCTGGTTGTTGGGAGGGTGGTGGTCATTGTCCTGTGGTTGTGGGTTGCAGGCACCGTGTTCACCTTTGGGGCATCTCCACTGGAGGCCACGATGTTTTAAAAATGTGGATGGAAGGATGAGGCTTCAGTAAAGAGAATAATTTCACCTCCATCCACCGTGTCATTTAAATCAAAACTGGTTTTGTGCTCTGTCTGTCTGTCTTCTCTCTGCAGGTCAGTGCTGGGGAGGAGGAAGGACTATGGAGGTCGGGTGTCAGCCCATTCGTGCTGAGCTTGGCCTCAGGGCCCATGTCAGCGGAGTGAAAAGGCGAGGATGTCCTGCATCTCCTGCAACAGTGCTGACCCCCCACATCCCGGGAAAGGCTCTCGGATCCTTCAGGGTTCCACAGACCGCACTTTGAGAAAGGTTGTTCTGGATAAACCAGGGAGAGAATCCCAACTGTCCCTGCTTCTGCCCCTGTCTTTTCTTCCCAGAATCCCTCTCCCTGAGGGGGGCTCCCTGCACCCCACACTGAGCTTAAAGCCCAGCCACTTGGACCTTCCCGAAGAGAGCTCACCCCTGGAGGGGGAGAGAGAGAGAGAAACATCGATGTGAGAGGGACTCCGACTGAGTGCCTTCTGCACGGGGATTGAACCTGCACCCCAGGAATGTGCCCCTGTTCAGGAATCCCACCTGTGACCCCACAGTGGCCGGCAGCCGTGCTATCCACTGAGCAACACCAGCGGGGACAATAACATATTTTTTAGGGAAACATTTTTAAGGCTTTTACAAAAATATAACTTTTCCTGTAAAGTTTTCAGTTATAGCTCTTACCAGGTTGAGCGATGTCTCCTACAACCAAAATTTTCAGGTTTAAATCCTACACAGGATACATACCTAGGTAGGGGGTTTGATCTTCTATCGGTGGCTATGGGAGGTAAGCGATAGATATTTCTCTCT